TTTTAGTTTTGATTTCATGCAGACCGTGCGCAGCATGATAGCAAACCTTCATCACGTGGCTGCATCACATCCGCTCAGGCTCAAAAGAAAAGTTTCCCTCAACTCGTCAGGAAACATGCTCATCCCTTGTGCACTCTCCCAACTTCCAACACATGGATATTTATTTTTTTCGGAAGTGGGGGGGGGGGGGGTTGAAGGGAAGCGGGAAGGGGGGGGTGGTGGAGGGATGAAGGAGTCTTGTCACATTACATGTACCTGTCTGCGCGCGTCTTCACTTGCAGCTGTCATCTCACCTGACAGGTCTATCAGTGTCCACGGCTGATCAGAACGCGTCCCTCAGCCTGACAGGCTGAACCGACAGCGCTGCAATCCAGACTGACAGCTCCTCAGGTAGCTGGTGGAGGGAGGGAGGGAGGCAGGAATCTGGGGGCGAGAGGCAAGACAAAAGCCAATGAGGAGTAAAAGAACACACACACACACACACACACACACACACACACACACAAGAGGAGTAAATTAAAGTCAGTAAACACCCTGGAATAATCCTCCCAGCATGACTGATCTTAACGCTGCTTTCCTGAATTTCATAAAACCATCTGATAATGAAGTGATTCTGAGATAACGCTTCGTAATGGAGCAATTGTTGCCAAACATTACCTTTACATCTCTATTAAAGCTCCGAATCCTCTTTCTGCCGCGGAAACACAGGGTGCCAGTTTGAGCATTTTTGAGTAAATCGAGTCTCATCTTTTACGACAATCAAGCACATTGAACCAAGGCCAAACTGCTCGCTTAACGCAGGGGAACTGAGGGCTGTATTCCAGAGAAAAAACACCTGCGGGATGTGCTTTGGTTAACCCATGAAAGGTTTAGTGTCTATGATCACACCCAGGGGAAAATGGGGAGAGAGCCCCTCCCCCATTCCTCTGCTCTTTCCCCTCTTCGACAAAAATCTGTCTTTATCTTGTCAAAAGCCAACGAAAACAAGCCGATCCAGAACGCCTCGACAACACGAAGACGAGACAAAACGGGAAAACCTACAAGCTCCAGAGAGCGAAGACTCATCTGATCAGCTTAGCTACGCTCTCCTGGCTTCTCATGTACGAGGAGTAATTAGCAATTAACAATCAGGGTTTAACTAGATCCAGTTATTATCTGTAAGCAAGAGGGGGGAGAAAAATATCTGCTGCTTTGACTCGGGAGTGCATTAGAATTCCCGTGCTACTTGAGTTTGATAAAAAGAAGAGTGAGGGACCCAAGCAGTAATTCTCTCATTTTCACGACATCTCTGGGCCATTTTTTTTTTCAAATTCCCAGATCAAACAGGCTGTAACAAAAGGCCCCAAATCCCCCCTCCGCTCTCCTCCTCCTGCTCTCTCTTTCCAAAATTAGTTAAGCCTCTCAGCTCCATCATCCTCAACATGGCTCGCATCAACAACCCTACGCTGCATCGCAAATGCTGCATAGCCTCCGAAATCCACCCCTCCTCGCACACACTCCTCTGCAGCCCCCCTCCATCCAATCACGCTGAAGATGAGGGAGGTGGGTGGGGTGGGGGGAGAAAACTCCCCATATGTCACTCTAAATTTGTACTTAGAGACAAAGTACCCCACAGTCACAAGAGTTTGTGATTCCCCCCCTTCCTCTTTCACTTGGCTAACTGTCTTTTGTCTTTTCCGGGGGAATATATGTTAAGTCAAAAGGCTGCTGTTCAAAAACAGGAGGATGGGGGAAAAAAAGAGGCTGACAGATTGGGTGATTCGGACACAGTGACAGGGGAGGGAAGCAAACAATCGCGAGCGAAGCAGCTGTCTGCCTTTACCGCTCTATGACATATTCAGGCCTTTGCTCCTTGTTTCCCTCTGATGACCTCATCCTCGCTACTGCCCCAGCTGTTTACCGTCTCAGGTCACAAGGTGATGATTCAGGATTTTCAATCACTCTTTACACGTTCCCTCCTTTTCTGTTATCATCTTTCCATGCACACTCCCCGCGTCTGTTGCCACACTCAAAGCAACTCTGTCGGCCTTACGCATATTTTCTGCTTTCCAAAAACTTTCCGGCGACTACCCCGACTTCAGAGGTGAAGTGGGGTGAGTGATGCCAAGAGCTTGCTCTGGGTTATTGCCCAGGAAGGTGCTCATTGCTCAGCTTTAAGTGATCCTGTTTCACACAGTTGTCAGTTCTCCGGGCTGGCAGGTCCTCGCTGCCTCCGAGCTAACTGCTTATGGGGTTGTCACCAGAGCCGTTAACGTTAATCTAATGCTAATATTCATGTTTGCCAGCTCCCTTTTAGCTAATGACACCTGCTTCTGGAGTAGACAGGCCTCCGTTAGTGCCAAGGCTGTTAGCATCCATTGTATGCTCACTATTTTGTTAGCTTGGGTCAGGTTGGCCGTCTCGCCACCGGCAGGGCTAAGATGGAGATCTTCTCACCTCCAGTCATACAGTGGAGTAAAAACAATGGTTGAAACACCACTCAACCACCCATTCGCCCTCAGAGGGAAAAGGACCATTGCTTCTGCATCCCGGTCCGGCAAAGCGTGAACTCAGCCGCACCACAAAAAAACCCACTCTCATCAATTTAATCATCCCCCGTCCACAGATTCCGAGCTAATTATTCCAGCCTTTAATTATTCCATCCGACTGCCGTTGAGATCTCTTAAAGACGGCTGGATTAGTGGATTTGGAGTATTAGCTCGGAGGGTTGGCAGACCTCTGCACTGTGATTCAGGGGGCTGAGAAACACATCTTCAAAAGGTACCTTGAGCAGCACCTTCACAGGATCATTACACTGGATAAATCCATGTTAAGTTGCTTAAAAGCGTGTAAAGGTGAGCCATGTTTAGGCGCAGACACTTTCGAGGGAGGAGGCTAACTAAATGTGACTTAAGCATTGCAACAGTGACACAGTTTAAAGCACTTTGGAAGGAATTGTTTACAAGTTACTTAAAGGGCTTATGTCAACTTGGGTCAACATCAAGGACTGGAGAAAACTTCAGGAGTGAATACTTTTTCCTCACACTGACAATTTAAGTGGCACACTTCACACATTGCAATGTCATGGTCTGTATTCAAAAGAATGATTTAAGCTACACCTTGTAAATCTAATGATCCAGTCACTCTTCTGTTATTTCAGCTAATGTAAACCCTGGATTCAGGTTTGGGTTCACCCACAGGGGCCACATCCACACTCAAATTCACCACTATTGAAAATCATTTGCTACCTTTTGAGTGCAAAGTCCTGATGTCTCGAGTTGACTGTCAAGTTAAAGTGCTCTTTGCTCATGCTTGTTAAAGATGGTGCCCATCAGCCTGCTACCCCTCCTTTGAACTCCCCCCCTCTCCCTCAAACACCCCCCCAGATCTCCAAAATGAGAGCAGCTCGTCCCGCGGCTGACAGCAGAGATGTTCTGAAAGCAGGTCGGGAAAGGTTAGAGCAAGAAACATGGAGCGGGGCAGTGAAAAAGACAAAAAGAATCTTGCTTTTTAATTATTTTATTAAGAGCCTTGATGCTATTAAATGCCCCAGATACATTCACCCTATAGTTCTCAATTAGACTTGACAGTTGCTGCATTACCAACAATAAATATAGCAAAAGGCTGCGCCTTGGGCCAGGAAGGACCCCTAACTATGACCCTCACATTTAATGATGAAAACAAGCGAGCGCACACTCTGCCTCGCTCAAGCACATGCATGTGCACATCCATGCATGGGTGTGTGTGCACATACACACACACACACACACACACACACACACACACACACACACACACACATCCTCTGTGTGTTGTGGCTCCTTGTTACACAAGGACATTGGAGCCTGTAAAAAAACAACTCGAGGGTTTATAAATGCTTTACAGATACTGAGGTGCACACATAAAAGTACACCTTTACACATTTGGAGGGCAGAGAGTAATTTCAAACTTTGAGCAAGACAGCACAAAAATAATGAAGAAAATTGCTTCCCATAAATTGCAATTTAATTAACTCTGAATCATCTTGACTTTATTTTGAAAATATTTTCAGTTTCTGTTTTTGGCCACACTAACAGTGCGGCTCTTGGGATGGCAGTGTTGGTTGGCCAATACACCATGTTGATGGATGCCATTGGATGGACTGCCAATGTCCCCAGAGGATGAATCCTAATTAATTTGGCAATTCCTTGACTTCAAGAGGAAATTAAAAAAAAGTGTCTTTATCGTCAGACATTATCTTCATCTTTTAATTGCCAGACATTGTTAGTTTCTTGTGAAATGTTGAGATGAGTATTAGATGGATAACCATTCGGAAATATGTAACAGACATTGTTACAGACAAGATCAATAATTGGTCATTCCCAATATAGTCCAGTGCCATCGACTGTCCAGTGTAAAACCCATGACAATTTGTGTTTAGTGCTAATTAAATAGCAAATGTTAACATGCAAACATTCTAAATCATTGCTTCTCAATCTACAGTGCGTGTACCACTGGTGGTACGCAGAGGAATCTTTTTAAAAAATGAAATAAAATCCTACCAAAATAATACAAAATTTGAAATGAAATTTGGTGTGACAGGTGGCGATACTCAGTAAGAAGTAAGGGTACTCATGTGGACAAAAATCAGAAGTGCTGGTACTCAGTAGGCTACTGGTGAGAACTGACACTGAACTTCTAACGTGTACATAGCGCTCACATCCAATTTGTAATTATGACTGGGAAACTGATTTTACTGCTTCAGTATATCCGATTTGGCAGTTCAAAATATGGAAGTGTTACATTCAAATATGGACGACTCACATTAACCCAAGGGTGTTGTTCAATGTAATTAACCCCATATGTAATAGATGGTTATATTATCAGTGCACAGCATTTTAATCCTCACTCTGTAATCATACAAATGTCTTGATGTCGTCAGCGCTCTCAAGTTGTTACCACTGAAATCTTTCCCATCCATCCAATTGATATCAATGATCATTTTCAATACAACAGACAAACAGACAAAAAATGACACACTGTGAGGGGAAACAGACTTCTTTACTGGGTAGAAATTTTGACAAAACATATTCTAACTTACAGTACTGTCAGCATGTCAGTAAAAGACTTCACAGGGCTTTAAACAGTCAAATGGAACACACAATTTAAAGGCAAAAATTGTTTTTAACATCAACAGTGGATCCCAACTTGACAATTGTGTGAGTGACAAAGACAAACAAACAGTAAACAGAGGTGTTCTTAATCGCCCCTACAGCTCTTTGTGATTTACACATAGTTAATAGTTTACATATTGTTTACATATCAACAAATATCTGTTCATAGCATGGCAGCTCTGGATGGAGTGTTGCGAGCCCAACCCTTTGTGGTTTGACTGCTTGAAGCCAGGCATCATTGGCACAACACAATTAAACAATACTAGTTATTGTTAGGTCAGACAGACAGATTGTCACATCAAGTTCCTGTCCAAGTTTGGAGTTTCTCTTCAAAATAAAGGCCCTTTACTGTGAGCTGGTAACAAGCACCAAACAATCATTTCAGCCTGCTCCCACCACATTGTGTGACATAAGCTCACTGTTCACGTGTCGGCTACTTTCACATTATCTTTAACTTAACCATCACACCAATTGCTTTGTATCTACAGCATAAATTCTATTTTTCAGTGTTTGTGCTTATTTCAGAAATTTGGAGAGAGTTTTCAGGTTTTAGCTGCAGCATATTGCAGTGCCAGGATGACTTCTTCTAAATTTCTACACAGCGGCTTCTCACTAAAGCTAAGATAAAAAAAAGTGAATAAACTAAGAGGCAACCATTTCAAGGTCAAGCTGTGGAATTCACAGAGTCGGTGTGCAAAAAGCACACTGTCATTCTCACTGTACTGTTACAGTTCAGTACCTTTCACAAATGTAAGTCTGTGCATACTCTTAAACAGGTACACAATGGCATGCACAAACACACACACACATTCACATACACACTCCCACAGGCAACTCTCCAGGCATGTCATTAAGAGAAAGAGAGTACTAGAGTTTCCCGTTGGCAAAGGCTCCCTCTTGGAACTGAGGGATAAAGCTCTTGAAGTACGCCCTGGGTGAGAGACAGAGAGAGAGAGAGAGAAAGAGAAAGAGAGAGAGAGAGAGAGAGAGAGAGAGAGAGAGAAAAAGAGAGAGAGAGAACAGAAAATAAAACATCAAAATATGACAATAATTGTGTTTCAACTGCTTCAAAGCATCTAACAAATTCACTGGGTCAGTTCCAGCCGCAGAATGTATGAAAGTACAGATGAAAGGCAGAATGTGTTTACTTGTTACAATTACAACTGTATATGAGATATCTACTCTCCATGTGTTAACGCTCGGGAAACACAGGAGACATACCTCTACTACAAGTAAAAAATCCACCCCCCCTTCAAAAATATCCCCCACAGCCCACAAGGTATTTAACCACATATTCAGATGGTGTTCAGTGTTTGTGTGTGTGTGTGTGCTTGTGTCAGGTTAGACTTCAACATTGCAAATTGTGACTCTGCCTACCAGCACCACTAAAGCTCACCAATTAATGCATTACATCTGTACAGAAAGTTGTGGTTTTTACGGGGAGTTACTGTATGTGCGACAGTTTGTTGGCCAGGCCAGTGGCTTCCTGAAATAAGGCAAGCATTCCGAAGCTTTCAAATCACACTTTCAAATATAAACTACTCTGAACAACCCAGGAAATTACAGAGGAGAATTGATTCAGTAAATACATTAATAAGCCATTGAATGCACCAACATTTTATTAAAATAAATGTAGGCATTAAGTAATTTATAAAATGTGACATAATTAATTCCCCTATTTATTTACTTTAATTTCATTCATTCTTTAATTCATTTACAAATGTAAATGTAAATTAGTTTTCCATTTTCACACTATTATTTCACTAAACTTACTTATTTCTGTATTTTCTTTTTATATTTCTTTATACATTTCTGTTTCATTATGCAAATAAGGAGGCTGTCAGTCAAAGTATGTCATGGGCTGATTGGTTGAGTGCACAGAAAAGCTTCTCTTTTCTTTATTTTCTTTTCGTATGCTGTATACCTAAGTATTAGTGTAGTGACAAGTTAAACTGAATAAAGGCAGAAGCCAATTCAAATGGAAAAATCTATTTGTGTCATATTTTATAAATTAATATATATAAATGAAAAGCCTACATTTATTTTTAATATTTTTGGCACAGTTAATGCCATAATCATTTATTTATATTCTTTTTTATTTAGTTAGTTATTTAAAATACATCTTTGGGAGTTTTGGTCCTCCATAGACTCAGACAAAATGTTTTGAAACATATTCCACTATTTATATTTTAATTAAAAATAAGGAAATCTAGACCTGATCCCAGTTGTGTAACTACAACAATTTTATGCCTCTGATCATCACAGACAGTGTTTCACCTCCCCAAAACATCAAGTGGAAGAAAAGTCTGAGGCCAGCTTGACTAAATGGTCATTTCTTAGTACGGAACAGCTGTTTACCGTGTGGAGAACTTACCATTTGGTCATAACAACCCCTAAAACGCAACCAAAGCCTTTTAGCCTTATATAATGTCTGTTCACCTCTACTGAAGTAGAATCATGCTATATATGAAATGATGAGTAATACATGTTTTTTATTACTGCAAATTAATAGATCGTTTTCAAGTTGCCTAACCAAACAGCTAGGTCAGCTAGCAGTCTGGCTGCAGATCCCTGTACAGTTAGCAAAAATAAATCCAGCAGGCAGATTTCTCTGTTCGGACATGTGTTTTTACAGTTTTAGAGAGCTTTAGGAGGCTTGCACTGCTTGCTCCATTACAACAAATCAAAATAAAATAAAAGAATGGAAGAATGAAAACTCTCTTTGCTGAGCCAAAGCTCTTGCAGTCACATCCATGGAGCTATCAGACCAGAATCCAAATAGGTCTGCATTTGTTGTGTGATAAAAAAGAAAGTCCACAGAGAACCAATTCTGAGAAAACAGATTACGCATTGCCTTCTGAACCTTCTGTAGTGTCATTCACATCTTTTGCAAATATTTACAGCAGTTATTAACCTTTGCCATGCAAAAAGCAAACAATTCAGGTCGTAGCTGACGCCTATAGATTTCCTCTAATGGGGTCATACCAGTTAATGTTTACTGAAGGTGGAATAAAATCTGTGAATATAAACAAATGGCCTGTGTTGTGTATAGTGCAGTTCAACCTATACGGTCTTATTGTAATTCATACATGAAATTCAGCATGATAAATGACTGGATGACTTATCGCAGAAGAGTTACAGTCTTGGTAGAGTTGTCTTGAAATGCACTTGAGTTTGTGGAGTATTTCAATACCTACAAGACATTCTGTCGCTGAAGCCAACTGTATCTCATTCTAATTCCCCATGTGCAAATAAAATCTATACAAATAGCATAATTTCCAAGATACATAGGATCTACTGAGGCAGGAGCTACTCACTTGGCCCTCTTTGCCATCTCATTGCCGTCCCAGCGAGGGCTGTAGGGATAGGACTTCTGCACCTGAGAATAGAGCTGGCCGCTGTTGGTGAAGTGGTACACAGACTGGAAGGTGAGGGTGGGCTGGTCCCTGGGGAAGTACAGCGGGAGATCCACTATGAGGAGCAGAGGGACAGATGGAGAAAGATATCGAATGAGAAAGATAATAATGAGGTTATTGTACAGTAAGAAATGTAATGCATGCAGTAAGTGAGTGTGTGTTTTGCCACTTCCTACCGTGTACTAGGAAGCAAAAGTCCTTCCACATGAGTAGAAGAGTCAGTTTTGTAAATCCTTCTGCATCATACTCCACCACGCCCCTGCAATACACACACATATTCATTTCTGCAAAGTCTCACCGGGTGTTATTTTACACCTACAGCACCTTCTTGTAAAATAACTAGGGACAGAGACAAATACATGGCTGCTGAACACAAGTTGTGATCACTTCAGTGGAGGATGTGGTCCTCTCTAGTTGACTCACATTCCAAAGTGGCTGAGGAAAGCAGCGATGTACTCTCTCCTCTTGTGATAGCCTTGGATGACATACTGCACCTAAAGGGAAAGGTGAAAGGTTTAGTACACACAATGGGATTAGCAAAACGCACGGCGAAAGGAAAATACAGTTTGAACCCCAGCAGTGACTTGTCGGAGCAATGTTAAGATGGCATTCACCGAGCTCAATTAATATAGTCAACCATTAAAAAACCACAACAAAGAGACAAAAACTAAATAATATGTATATTGTTGGCATTTATTTGACTTTACAGTTAAAGGATAGCTGCTGCACCCAGAAGAAAATCACACATTTTCCCCTTTGATTTAAGATTAATGTAAAGACCAAAATCAAGACACACGCCTGTTCCAACTAACTTGTTTTCTGATGTAATGCAGAGAAACTGGGAGAAAACGGGCTGTAAATGAGCTGTATATCGTAAAGCAAAATAGTTGTTTAAGGTTGTGATGTCCAGATAGTTGCTCCTGTGGTGCCAAATAATCTTAAAAGAATTATCTTTTTTCTAGACCGCGGCACACCCAGTTTACAACGTACATGTGCTGTGGTTCACAGTACAAACATTGGGTTCACCAAGTTGACTGCATAGAATACAGGCCAGTGTTAATTATGCTGGCAACAGAAAACAGTATGCAATGCAGTATCTAAGTAAATACAACACAGATTGCATTTAAAAACTCAACTCAGCTCCATACCATTTCAAAAATGGAAACTATGACATGTCAAAATGATCACACATTAGTATTTTAGAATTATTGATCGTACATCATACTAAGGGCTAAATTACCACACAAATATGATAACTACTGAACATCTGGCAACACTGGGTCACTCCCTTAAAGAAGCTAATACCTGCCCAAAATATAATTGCTAGAGGGATGTTAAAAGTAATTATATACACAATCGTTAACTTGCCAACACTTTGTACCTCACTGGGTTACCATGGTTACCAGTTCACATACAATACATTTCCTTAAAAAAACAGTACCAAATAGTTTGAAGCATTGAAGCTTCATCCATAACGTTAACATTTTAATTCGTAATCAACATTTTAATGCAGCACTGGTCGGGACTGTATATAAAAGTAGCGACCAGCTATATCAACGTCTCTCTCCTCTACTGGAATTCCTGCAGGGTTGTGCGGAGGTGTGGCCGTGTTTATTTGTGCTTTAGAAGGTAACCTCCATGAAACGATCAGAAAATTACATTTTAGTTCTTGCTAACAGAGCTCCCTCTCTTCATTCACTCTCTCACTGGCTGAACCACTGCTTCTCTCTCGACAAATCCTAATCATTATACCTTTACGTAACAAAAGAATTTAAATAAATTAATCACTTTATTTAAATTGACGATTTTTTCTTTTTAGGGTATTGATAAAAAAAAAAAAAAAAAAAAAAAAAAAAAGCGACAACAGATATTTGAAGGCTTCCATCGAAACTTTGCATTTAAAAAAAATGACATTCAATACAGCCCTATTACAACTACTATACACTATACAAACTGCTTTATTTTGTTACTCTATTTCGGCCCTTGATGAAAACACAGATTCAAAATGTAGTTCATAAAATTTGCGAGCATCTGGTAGCCCTTTTTTGGGAACGTTCCTCAGCAGCAATAGATTTTCAAGAATTTGACATTATTTGAAAGGTGACAGTAGAAAATGACAGAAAACATGGGAGCAAAAGGGGAGAGGACATGTGAACTAGGGATACATGATTAAAGGTCTTTGACCCCCCCCGGCCCTGAAGAATACCCTTGCAGCAACAGCATTTACACATATCCTGTTTAATAAGAATATTGTGTTTATTGTTTTTAATCTCATCAACTGCATTCCCCTTTTATCCCCCTCAGCAGCTGTCCCGTCCACATAGTTTCCGGGTCTTTCTTGACCTGAATTAGGTCCTTATCAGCAAAGCTAGCTCTCCGTCTGTGTACAGCCTGAGAGGAAATTCTGGCAGTGCTGTACATGTTAGCAGAGCGGCTTTCAGAGCGAACCTACCCAGAATGTAAACAATGCCTTGGCCTGTAGAGAGATTAAGAGAGGTGAGTTTTTTAATGGTTGCTTTCACTTTAAAACCAGACAGCTCAGAGTACAAAAGTAGTATTACATGCAATCTTTGTACAGGCGAATTTAAATGTCACAGAAGTACAAAGTCTTTAGCTTACCACTTGACAGCCAAATAAGCTGGTGTTAAAAGCTCTACCATAGTGTCTGTCAAATAGAAAAGTCAGTCTGCTCAAAGTACTGTGTTCATAATACTATTTCTTAATTTCAGTCAACATTTTTACACAGAGCCTCCACAGTATCTTTATTCTTATTAAATTATTATTACAATATGGTAAACATTTCAGTTTTTCTTGCGCATCATTTTTAAAAAAGGAGAAGGTGGGATGCTTTACATTTTACAACACCCCAAGCAACTGCTGCTCATCAGCAATGGTATCATGAACACGCTGCACACAAAGGCTTCTGCTGACATTCTTGCTGAGAGGCAACAGGTTTTCAAAAATACATGAGAGCATGTATAAAAACCACCAGTGAGGCATTAACAAAAAACAATTACTCCGTACAAACTCTCCGACACATGCAAAAGAGAACGGGCTTTCCACTTGTGAGCCCCTGACCAACATGTCTTTAGTGCGTGTTGACAAGTGTGATTAGCGATTATCTTTAAGTCCAAAGAGGAGAAAGCTCAGGCCTCGCTTGAGTGTTGAGCATCCTGGGCAGGTGAGAAAGCCTGCAGTCAGCCAGCCAGCCATGAAGGTGACCTGCTCCTATTCACCTAGCAAGACTAAGCCTTAGCAGAATGGTTATATATCACTGAACCTGGGCCATGCTGGTGAAACTCAGATTACTGAACAATGCAGAAGAAAACCTGCAGGAGAATGCCCTTGGTCCTAAAATTAAAGATCCACACCATTTAATCAAAGCGATATAGATCAATGTATGTAATGTGCACTGCCAGTCTGTATTCATTGTTGTTAGTGAAGAAAAGAAACATCACTCTGTCACAACACTGTATGATCAGGATTGGACAGGGGTCTAAGAAAATATTGAAAAATATCGTATTGCGATATTTTGATTTCTGATATTGTATCGATTCTCAAAAACACTTATATTTAAAGCTCCAATCACTAGATAGCAGTGTTGGAAACTGAGGGCTAAGATGTTGGATGTTACATGAACTGTGATAAATACAAATTCAGATCTCACTGCTCATTTAATAAAAAAAAACCACACAATATATGGCCTTGCTTATGGTATCACTATATATATTGAATCATAACCTCTATATCATATCGCCAGATTCTTGCAAATACACAGTCCTACTTAATGGTAAATGGAGATTCTCCTCTTCACAGAAATTATTTAGCTTATCACCTCACATTCATTTCAGGAGTATTTCCTTTTCTTGATAATGACATCAATATTTTAAAATGATCAATTTAATATTTATGAATCATAACTTGCAACATATTTTTGGCTCCCAATAAAAACATATTCTCAGCTGACAAAAGGCGATTACAAATCTTCAGTTATTCATAACTTTAGTTACTTGCAACGGTTGAACAATAAACTTTAACAGATTTAATAAAGGATTCAAAAAACTTTATCAAACCCCAACCCAAGTTATACATGAATTTAAACTGCATTTTACTACAGACTGGATTGTACAGCATGCATCAGAATTAGGGCTGGGACTCAAAGGCAAACTCAAATATTTCTCATCTCTCATATTGTGATAATGCTTCCCATAATACGAATGCTACCATCATACTGTGTAACTTTCAGGTAAAAAGGAGCAGAGGTGCTCTATCCAATGAAAACAAAGGGCCACAGGTTGGAGTCGAACCGATGGTCACTGCAGGAAAGACTATATTTTTAAAAATACAGTCAAACAGCCATAATTTGGACAAAAGATGAACATTTTGCAAGAGGAGCAGTTTCAGAGTTCTATCTGCAAGAAGGGATAAAACGAGCCTCTGCTCCAGCAATGCAAGAATAATGTGATATTGGTGCCAGTGTCTATAATGCATAATCAAAGTGTCTATTGCAGTTATTGATTATTTTTCCCAGCCCTAAGCAGTAAAAAACTCGTAGTAAAATTGTAAGGTTCATTTGAGGACAGGATATGGCATGAATAAAGCTAGAGACAGTACTTCCTTACCCACTGCTACTGCATGGTTGTGATTACTCATCAACCATGTATGAATGACGGCATTTTGTGAAAGAGGAAAGTTGTAATCTCTGATACACACAGTCGTGTGTGACGGGTCTCATCTCTGGAAGAGCTCTTAAACACAGACACGCATTGTGACTCAGCCTCCTGTTCAATCATGTTTACATGGGACAGTGGAGGCGGCAATTTAGCTTTCTCAAAAGCTGCAAGGCCACATACTCAATAAGCTGTTTATCTAGTTACACTGCGTGTACGTGTGTGCGCGCCTGTTTCAAGGGAACTGTGGATCACTGAACTTTCCCACCCATGCTGTGAAAGGATTTCCCGCCCCCACTGTCGCTGTGAGTCGTAACCAAGTCTTTTTATTGGCTGCCTGGAGGTTTGAGTGATGCAAGACAGGTGATCTTGCTCTGCAGGTATTCAAACCTGCCTGTGCCCATGACTCCCTCGCCTGCACATCCATTTATTGTGTTTGTGCATGTGTCTGTGGGGAGTGTGATGCAATAACGCCGGAAGTGCTTCCTGCTGTGTGATTAAGAAATCTCTGTCACATACGCATTCACACCACCCCCGGCTTTCATATTATAAAGAGTGACAGATCTGATATCTGACTACAAACTCACTTTAAAAATCCATGTATTTTGGTTATCTGATAAGATCTACATAGGCATCAGTATTCAAATACTATAGGAACATTTACTGGTGGAAAAAAATAATGATCACTAGATGGAAATTACATGAAAGAGTGACATCACAATAAATAAAATAAAGGATGTTTTCACATTAATCTGCTGAAAGTGGAAAGTTTCTCTGTGCTCACTGAAAATCTGATTTTAAGGGGCGGGGCCTACCAGCATGATTTCTACAGTGTGATGTAGAAACTTGAAGCCACCAGTGCACATCCACTGAGAATGGACTTTACAGTGAATACATCTTGTGTCCAGCAGGAAAACTTTAGACATGCATAAAATGTGCATATTCACATATTCTGTTTTAGTTTTAAGTTGTAAGTAAGTGAAGTTTTAGATGTCCTTTGAAAGTGGACATTTTCTTGTGGAAAAAACATATCAAACACCAATCCAAGCAGATTATTAGATAATATATATGTCTTAATACATGACTAGGGGATCTTTAATAAAAGCGGCAAGCACACACAATATTATACTTAAAATTGACAACAGCCACAGTGCAAATGTCACATGAAGTACAATTTGTACAGCATCTTTAGATTTGTAAGAAAGCCCAGGTTAGAAAGACCATGACTCATTGTTAAGTTTGCTGTATACTCAGCTTCTGGGAAATGGACTCGCACAACTCATTGCTCTTAAGTTGAGTGGAAATGTTACCGTGTATATGAATCGGCCCGATGATTCATGTGCTGTGCTCTCTGGCCCTGCCACCATTACCTTGGTGGAAGAAGTGAAGTGAACACTGATAATGAAAGTGTTAACAATCAGTTATGACCAACCTTGGACAGATAGGTAACCCATGTGAATGTGGAAGTTATTCAGTCTCAAGTTAGCTATGACACAGTGTTTGGAAAAAAAAAAAATGTTGAATTAACATTTTTGCATTGTAATCAGATTAGATACATAATTTAATTAAAAAAAAAATTAAGTGGAATTTCAGTGAGGAGTAAAAAACATTTAAGAGTTGTTTACTGATTTGTGTCTATTCAAACTGGACAAAATTCTGCTAAAAGGGTTAAGATGTTAGATTATAGCCTTTATTTAAAAAGCATTCTGATGACTATTTCAACATATAACAGGTTCAACAAGATCTAGTGTGTACATATTTGTTGGCAGCAGTTAAAAAATTACACACATTTACCAAAATCGATCAGAAAGGCACTGAGATCTATTTTTACACCTGCACTTTCCTATCAATTGATGGATTTCTTTCCTTTTTTTGTTGTATGGGTTACAATCTACTTATGTATGCACTTGAAAAGTGTACTGAGACACTTGTGATATTACACTTTAAATAAATAAACATACTTAATAATCACAGACACATTTATTTACATTGCTTAAATTATCAATTACTCTCAGCGTCTCCCTCATAAGCCTATTTCTCCAAACAACTACGGATGATTTCATTGAAATTGATTGAAAGCAAACTAATTCCTTGTCTCATGTGAGCTGATCGTATACTGTCTGTACATATAGGAGATGACTGAAAACCCCTCAGGGCCTATTAGCGTCTGTAGCTGATTTTCATGAGCGATTGTTTTTAATGATGCAGATGCGAGGTGCTGCCATCACCCAGCAAAATCATGGTCACAGTCACAGCTGAGGTATGTGGCAGTATAGTTATACCATCCTGGCATCTGGAATAAGTGGGAGGAAATAATTGATGGTGTTATAAGAACAAAAGGACTGCACAGCCTGTCCTGGCACTGACTATGAGAATCTTTCACCCTATGTCTTTTTTTCTTTACCTTTGTTTTTTTTTTTTTTTTTTTTTTTACGAAGTTTGGTTGATAAATCTCACAAAAAATAACAGATTATATTGAAGTCGAATATTGCTTTGTGTCTTTCTGCTTTATATGAACCCACATTGAGACTATGAGGCGCGTTCCAGCTGAATTCCAACTTCCCAGTTCAAATGGAATGCTCCATAACACTGCCTGCCCACATCTACAATTTGATTCTAGTTATCAGGCTATGAACTAGGGAGGCACATGAATCAAAATGCAGACAATGGGAAATGTATATTATTACAGTACATATTATTCTAATAATACAACTAGAGCCAATAAATGATTGGTCTATAACAGTAATCATTTATTTAGAATTATTATGCAAGATGTAGTATGTTTGTGAAATTTTTGAAAAAGTAAATGTTCGAACATTTGAAGAGTCAGAACTGCTATTTGTTTTTATTGATTTAACAATAGTGCTGTCAGATTTGGTTTGAACAAAGCTATGGATTATTAAATCATCCATCTTTGCCCATTACATAGTCTCACCTTACAGGTTATGAATTTAAAGTACAAAAATGTAAAATGATCTGTTACTTTATCAGTATCAGCCAAGCAAGTAATTATCAGTTATCATATCGGCTGGAAAAGAAATCCATATTGTGCATCCCTGCTATAAACAGGTGGTGTTAAGATTTATTTTAGTGGTATTGTTAGAACAAAGTTTTATTTTAAAAAGCTGCAAACTGCTTCATCTTTACTCACAATTTTTATATTTACCCTGTTGAATACAAAATGCTTCCACGCATTCACAGCTTGCATGTGAATGGGCAAGAAATAGATCAGGGTGAAAGCTTTTTACAAATATTTTCCACTGGAGCACAAGGGCTCTTGCGATTATACACTAAAGAAATTAAACTGCAACAACATACCGTTATATTAAGGTGTATAGTTTGTGGCTCTGTTGTGTTGGTCAAAGTGCTCTTTTCACTGCTATCAGGGCAGTGGTAAATGGAGTGCATTTATATAGCCCTGTCTACCTTAACGGACAAAGCACTTTACAGTATTGCCTTTAATTCACCCATTCACACACCGATTCAAGACGCTGGTCTCCTCATTGAGAGCGACTTGGGGTCTAATGTCTTGCTTAAGGACACCTCATGGATTGAACCTCAAACCCTGTGATTAATGGTCCCTCTACCTCCTGAGCCATAGCTCCATGTTGAAGTATTAAGCCACAAGCCTATGGCACAAAAGAATAATAATCCCTCCAATACTTTTGAATTTACCAACAGCAGTGTGCCAGTATTCAGAGCTTAGTACTGGTTACACTTTGCTTACTCCAACACACCAGCAGCCCTGAGTGAAATCAACGGTGGTGGTGTGTGTGTTCCAGGCAGCATATGAGTTGGGGGGTGGAGGGAGAGGTTCTGACACTGCTGCTGGACTTAAACCCCCAGAGACATGGAGGTCAGTCAGGGACACAAGTGTTCCAGGCACCCTAAGTATGCTGGGCAGAGTCCAGGTGAATAGGAAGAGATGGAGGGTATCTGTGTGCATTATGCGCGTGTGTGTGTGTGTGTGTGTGTGTGTGTGTGTGAGGCTGTGGGGGATGGACATTTCTCCTGAGGGAAATGGCATTACATCGTGTCTACATAGCATATCTACCTGTCAACCTGCAGAGGCCATGGAGCGCTCAGACGGCCTATGGAGGTTGGCCAGTACGCCCACGTCGGCAGATGCCAGACACATGTGCATGAATGCACATACACATATTAACACACACACACACACACACACACACACACACACACACACACACACACACACACACACACACACACACACACACACACACACACACAAACACACAGCCTGACAAAATACTTTCCACAGTAGACACACGTGTGGCTGCACCAAAGTTTATAACTATACAATAAATGATTCACATGCCTTGATCTTACTTATAGTAGCTAGACATTAATATAGATGGAAACCACTATTTGCTATGTAAAGATATAGTGGAGTAATGGTGTCCTGAGCAGAGAATGATGTCACACTCTCTCTGCCTGTGTTGCTATCGCAGCCTCTCTGTGGTTTGTTTACGTAGCAGGTCTGCTCCGTCTGCAGGAAAGCGACTGAAACTGCCGTTTTTACCATCTACGTCAATTCAGGATTTATTGTTCCAAAACCAAAAGCTGACGATTGTTGGAACGGTGGAAAGACTAACAAAGATGGGTTTGGTGAGCTGTATTGTGTTCCTGTCCACTTTGAATGAAGTTACAATGACATATGGAAAATCACCTTTTTTGTCTATCTGGTCTGGTGGCGAGCGATAGTGATTACTGTTTCTCGTTAAATAAAATATATATATCTGTAGGGATCCTTTCCATATTGCTGTCAGACACTAAGAATAACAGTCTGAGCCTGTCAGACGAAAAAAACCAGTGCATTTATTCCCACGGATTCATATTAGCTCATGTTGCAGCCACTGCAGCCCATTTTCCTGAATACTTTCACGTCTAACTCGGAGAATTAAGGATTTATTTCGACCAAACAACATTATATTGTATATATAACCCTTGAGTGTTACAAATAATATAAAATGATGCAGACCTCAACACTAATAGAGACATTATTTCATTGTGATGAAGACACCCACATACACACAATAAAATAAAGCACATCTAACCACACTGTAAGTAAGTAAAATGAGTTATACTAAACACTTTTACCTTGTTGGTGAGTAGCTGGCACACTTGAGGGACATAGTCAATTAGGCATCCTCCACTAGGGAATGCTGGGATATGAAGTGCTGAAGAGCCTCCCAGAGCACTGATTGAGAGAAAAAAAAACAACAGTTATCCTGTAACTACACAGAAAATAAAGTTATTACCATGTTCTCTCTGCCACTACGACAATTATTTGGACAATTCAAGACTTTGTATGACCATCTGCCTAAACTACTGAGCAAAACCAAAACCAAAACAGAGCGCATTAGTTAGCTGCCATCTCCATAAGTTGTGGAATTAAAAAATAAAAGGAGTGTCTCATGCCTGTGGCATCCTGCTTTTTCTCCTTCACTTGTTCATTTATTCTTTTGACATCCTCCTGATTCCATCCTGCAGCACAGCTCCATTAGTGATTAGTGCATGCTTGTTTAATCAGGAAATCTGCTGCTGCAGCTCCCCAGTGACTAACCAACCGAAGTAGTCACTCCCTCATTTTTTTCTGATCTGGGGCAAAAACAGAGGGAATACCCTGAGGATGGGTTAAAGGTCTTAAGGCACCGCTTATTGGCTTTTAATTCTCATTTTAAGACACATAGAGGAGGATTTCTTCCGCTGCATTCTATTTTTATTCCATTCTTCATTATAGCAGGGCAGTCACAGGGTATTTAGAAATGCTGTTATGTCATTAAAAGCAATGCCAAAGTGGATGACTTCTGTTTACCAGGTTAAGCATGCACGATGCATGTAAATGGCCTACATCATGTAACATTATGTCAAATGTCAAAGACCACATATGTTGACATCCAGCCCCGGGGGCTTGTCCTTTTCGTTGATCGGAAAGTCTATGGTTTAAAATAATAATAATAATGTATCTAAATGTGAAACACAACAAAAGTGAATCACAGACCATGGTCATGATCTTACCAATTCCATCACATCATCCCTGACTCTCTTTTGAACCAAGTCCAAGTCACACCACAAGGCACTAAGACATGACTTAAATAAGCATGGAAATTATTTAACTGCTCATTTATGCGTATAGACTAATTAATAAGAATAACAATTATAATAATTTTATAAGTAAAGGCTAATATCTTTCATCTGAATGTATAGTTTTCTCCTTTTTATTTTGGTGCCAGCAGTTGAAGGTGCACATCCTGGTAATGTACCAAAAAAAAAACAACTACATTCAGTAGAGCATTTTTCAACATTTGTGAGTCACCATGGTGTATGAAGCTAAAAGCAGGTAACTAACACAGAAGCTCAGAGAATTGCACAATGTTTAAAAAATTCCAAAGAAAGGTTGTGGGAGTAGAGAGGAGGAAGGTGGAGCGCAGTTCAATGTGCTCCACCTTATGGTCATAACCAAAAACCACACATATTCATGGGAAAAATTATGTCTTAACAGAGGTCAGGAAGAGGTCAACAGGGACTGGACGGTACATAAACCTAGATTCAAGATAGATAATGGAGTTCTCATCTGTGTAAATAACAGCTGGTTTCTCATCAGCTGCTCATCTGTCACATACAGAAGGTTTTACTGGTAGATTACTAAAATTAGCTAAACAATCACACCCAACCACAGAGATTCAAATATGTAACAGCTTTTACTCTAGATCGCTGCTCTAAATATATTTTTTGCCAAATGATGCGTGGCTGAATATTAATGAGGTCTTATTCACAGAGAAGCCATGCAAACTGTCATGAACCCATTTTCATTGTCAAAATCCTTTTCTCCAGAACTCCAAAGCCACCATTTACAGTAGGCTTTGTGCACATAATTAGCATTAGCCTGTGCATTTTGCTGTGCACCAACAAATGGTCGATTGAAAATGACTTGCAGCAACGAGAAGAGAAGCCTTTGAAAATGAAAATCTAAATGATGCCCATCTATCCTCCCACAGATCTAAGAATAGCTCCATATCATTCAGATGGAAATGCGGACAGAGGCACAAAATAGATGGCGGTGTGTTCGTCACTCATTTGTGTCAATGGCAGGCATGCAAACAAATGTGATGCATTTTGGATTTCAATGGTTCTGCCTCTGGAACACCTAATTGAATGGAGGCTGATTAGACACCAGTCTCTTGCGCTAGTATCAAACAAATTTTTCTTTAGACGTCAGGTCATGGTCCACATTAGACCAACACAAATTCAGTTTACATCCATTCATTCTGCCTGTCAGTGGATTTTTAATCTCGGGACCTTCTTCCTGTGAGGATACTATGCTTTCATTTCACCAAACTATATAAAAAAAGTCTCTGTACACCTGAATGTGTAACAGGTGCGTTGGAGGAAGGTGCAACTTGAAAACAATGAGAACTCCCGCACACTGTCTCGCTAACTGCTGAAAAACAATGTTTCGGTTTGTGCAACATTTCATGTTTCAGTGTGGGAGTTCTTCTCCCTTTTTTTTACAAAATTAAAATTAAAATACTTAAAGAAACACTAACAGAAAGAGTTTGGCAGTTGAGCAATTTGGGCTTAACATTTGAAAAAAAAAAAATTGCAATGGCAGTTATATTTCAGGATACTACAACCATTGATATAGCATTGTAAACAGGCCAGATAAAAAAAAAACATGGCAGTAAAACAGGTGCAGAGCTGAAAATAGTGTTTCAGTAAAACAAAGTTGAATATATTTTGTTTCATAATTGTCAGCCTGATGTGTAGCAGCTAGCATGTTCTAAAGCAGCTCAAGGCAGCCAAGACTCTGGAAAGACCAGCACAGTCAGGACAGAGCTAGCACCAATAGTCTACTTGTATGTAGAGGTTTGATTCTTTGCCCAAACCTTATTCGACCCAACCAGACGTGTTGGGGTAATAAACTATTTAAATTATTACTTTTTTTTGGTTTTGTTTTTTATTAAAGAGGAAATTCCTAGTTTCAGGTTCAGTTTGGGCTGGCAGAGTTTTTTCAGGGTCAGGTCTGATTTTTTGGGCCTGCTCTACTTGTGTGGTAAAGTTGCAGTTTTTGTAGTGCCTTTACTCAGCAGGGAGTACAAAATAGGACTAGGGGTTTCTATATTGCAAAGTAAAGTTCTTATGAGGTTGACCCCCTCGCGACCCTCTCCGAATGGATCCGACCCACCAGTTGGGAATCACTGTTCTAAAATATGATTACAAGTTGAAAGTGTTCAGCCTCCACCTTGAACAGGCCCAACAACTTCAACTAAAAAATGCTGACTGCACAGCATATTTCTTCATCATTAGTCATGTTTTACTGTGGAGGGGTGTATAAATTGCACTGCCAAAACTAAGATTTAAACATTTGAAAAGCAACACCTTATCTCAAAGTCAAGCTAACCGGTAAGAATTTCATTAGGCACTAAGTTAAAATATGCAAACCTGCACCCCATATTTGAGCAGTTATGATACGCCATAAAGATGACTCAGGATTGTGACAACCACTGAATACTTTACTTTACTACTTCTGATTGATGCTAACTGCATTTCGTTGTTTTGTACCTGTACTTGCAATGACAATAAAGTTGAATCAAATCAAATATACAATATGTTATACTAAATCACACATTTGGTTTTGCACTCTGATTACATCAGAATGAATGTACCTGAGGGTAACGTATACTGACTTTTAGACACTAATATGAGTCAAGCTGAAGAGAAATGCTGCTTCCATATTCACCATAATGCAATCAACAGCATTTTTTTGTTTGACACTCCCTGCCTGCATTTTTCAAACTGCACGGCCCCTGTTCGTTATGCAGGTTTTCTGTTAACAATTTGTAGTCTCCATGCCCCAGCAGTCATAACACCCTGATGACATCATCTGGGTTATTTTAGAATACTTGAGGACATTTTCACAGGTTGAGTGGTACTCAATGACTCGCAGACTGAACTCTATGTGTAAAATCAGTGGAGTTCCCCTTTAACCACACAACAGTGGGCTGAGAGCACACTGACCAAAGTCATGTTGTGGGTCAAATAAAATGTTTAAAAGTGACTGAATATGTACACTTTGAGTCTGGGTCATGTTTACACACATATACATAAAAATACATATCCATATCTTCAAAATATAAAGAGAACAACCGGTAGGACGGTCCTGATGGTTTCTTTATTAAGTCAGTGCAGCATGAGCTTTAAATTGCTTTAAATGGAGTTTCCTGTGGGTGGGCTCAGAATCTAGACATAATGGTGTCTTACTTTCCAAGTGGCACCCTGAAGAGTCCCTACTTCAGTCTCCACTGGTGACACCACTCTCAACACTACCCACACATACTGGAGTCATCATGCAGACATGCTGCCTAACACAACCCCTCTGAGCAATGCAACCTACTGTATGACATATTTACAGTAGACAGCAGTACATGCATGCATGTAAACAAACACACACACACACACACACACACACACACACACACACACACACACACACACACTCATGCTGTACAGTGACAGGGCTGCCTGTGACTTCATCAAACAGAGAGATTATCCTGTGTGACTCAGGTGGATGGTGACGAAGCTCAGTTTGTTTATTTGTGTGTTGTTTGTGTGTGTGTGTGTGTGTGTGTGTGTGTGTGATAGATGGTGTGTATGACAGTGCAGTGACAGCATGAGAGCAGATAAAGGCCCAATTGGTAAGAGGGCAGAAATGATTCATTACCAAAGTGAAAGATAAGGCCAAGAAGAACTGTTTGGAGATTCAAATGTAGTTTCAAAGCAGCAACATTTCCATTTTGATTGCCTTCTTCATTTCCTAAAGCCTAGAGGTTCCTCAAAGGCCCACATATGACTCTGCTTGTTGACTGTTTGGACTAAATAACATCCTATTCTTCCTCTGTGACTGGACAAGGCACGCTTGGCCTATGGCAATAGGAGTCAGTAACCTTTCCGTTATGAGGTGACTATCCTGGCATAACAGTGCTGAATTTTACTCAGATTTACTATTCATCATCCATTTGGATAAAACCAGATTAATAGTAGCCTCAGGCTGCAACCATTACATACTCTCTCCAGTATCTGATAAGGTTGGGCAACAGGGCCACATATACTTCCATGTATCTAGTGGCGAGAAAGGTTCTAATGGTCGTGAGCTGCAGATAACTCGCTGCATATCATGACTAATGTTATGTATATCAC